TTGTTTTGCCTCCGATAAAAGCTCCAAAATCCCTGACGTTCCCCTCCCAGTGCACCTCCGGATATTCCTAGAACTGTTCACTGACCACTCGGCTTCTCTTTTGTCTCCTCGCTCAGTGCAGCCCCAGTGGTGAACGGTCCCTGTCCCTGGGGTACCTGCACCTACCTTTAGGGCACAGCAGTGAGGTGTGAGTCTTTTCCTCCAGCAGCCCCTCTGCCTGGTGGGGAAAAGGCTGGTCAGCTCGGAGGGGATAGCAGCAAAATGAGACAGCAGCGGTGCAGCACCTCACCTCCCTGCAGGCACCTTTCCGTCCCCACGAGCTATGCCTGCAGCCAGGGACGTGGGTGCTGACAGTGACGTTTCACTGGGAAGCAGGTTTCTAAGCTGCTACATGGCCCTCGCCCTCGTTGCCCTGCTTGCAAGCAGTTCTGATGTCTCTGTCCCATCAAGTGGAGGTGCTCAGTCCATGCCCTGACCCAACCTACCCTTAGAAATCACTCCTCGACCAGCCTCCCTGAGAAATGTACCCACCTGCCCATCTGACTTTCTCTTCCCAGAGCCACCCACCGGGGCCATTTGGAGCCTGACCCAGTTCCAGCCTCGCCAGGACCCTGAAGCATGCTCTGACCTTCACCAGCAGGTCTTTAACCACCGTGTCCTTCCCTCCAAACTCAGGCACGACAGCTGTACTCTCAGTGCAAACATCTTCTTGCTCCACCACCTCAGCAGTGACAGTGAGGTTCACCTTTCCTGAAGAACAAACCATCCGGAGGCTGGTTGGCACATCCATGCCCAAGGCTGCTCACTCGTGCTTAGCACGATGGGCCACTCTCCCTCCCAGCCCGGCTCCGGTTTCCCCAAGCAGCTCTGCCACCGCCTCCCACTCCGGCCCCTCCCCGGTCCCCTTACCTAATTTTGTAGCCTTCAGATCCCAAAAAAATGTTTTGGCTGAATCAGGACACAGACAAAGAGTGAACCTGACATTTGCATGCACAAACTCAAAATCCCCGGAGTCCGTCAGGCTAAGCTGGAGCTGGGGGTGAAACAAAAGGGATTCCAGGTTACAGAGCTGCAGCTGTGTCTTTCCTTCCAGCTCCTTGATCCAAACGTCCGTCCAGCCCAGAAGCCCAGGTGAGTACGATGATGGCCCTGTTGCTGTGTCTGTGGGACACCAACAGCCCATGGACATTGGGCTGCTGTAGGGCTGAGCTAATGGGGAGGTACAAGATGGACAGAGATGGCTCTGCATGGAACTTTGTGAAGAGCTTCCTTGGTGTCTTTTGCCCAATGCCTGAGGAGGCAGCCCCTTGTCTGGGTCTCTCTCGGTGAAGTACTGTTACCACACATACCCCTGCCCAAAATCCATCCCGGAGGCAGCCACTCACCGCCGTGCACTGCTCCAGGTAGCTGAAGACTTTGACTTTCAGGGGAAAGGACTCTCCCCGGAAGACAGAGTAGGGCAAAGTGAGTTCCACGAAGAAGGGCTTGAAGCTGCGAAGGCTGGTGGTCTCTGAGATTCCCAGCCCATGGCTTTCCGAGGTGCAGAAGGTCATGGCTCTCCAGTCAGTGATGCTGTCAGGGACTGTGACAGCTAGCTCAGCAGCCCCCAAATCGCTGAGGAGAAAACAAAGCCAAAGGGGTTGTCCCCATCCCCGTAAAGATTTCTCTTGGGAAGCCAAACGCAGAAGGACTATGAACTGGAAGCACGTGTGAAGGTGTGGGGATTCCTAGGAAGTAGGACGGAGGTACGGGAAGGATAGCAAATAGGCGGGTGAGGAAGGACTGAGAGGCAAATGCAAACCAAAATTTGCTTCTGGACAGAGTTGCACCTCAAATTCTTGTTTTGTGTGGGCACACAGGGTTCCCAGGGGTCCATGTTGTACACCCAGCCTGTGCCGGGGAGCACCGTGTGAAGCTCCCACCACCTGAAATGGAAGACGGTCCTTGCCCTGAAATGAGCATAATCCAGCCAAATGAGAAGGAGAGGCAGAGATCCTCTTTCACAGATGGAGAACATTGGCACGTGGGAGAATGAGGTAAGCTGAGATGTGTGAATAAGGGGAGAACGGTGGATGCTGCACAACTTGACTTTAGCAAGGATTTTGACACGGTCTTCCATAGTACCCTTGTAGCCACATTAGTGTAGACTGGACAAGGGGGTGATAAGGTCAGCGGAGAACTCACTGGACCACTGGGGGCAAAGGATGGTTATTGGTGACACAAAGTCCAGCTGCTGGCTGTTTACCTGTGGCAACCCTCAGGGACTCATGCTTGGACCAATACTGCTTAATGGCTTTATTAACGACCTTGATTATAGGAGAGAGGGTGTCCTCAGACACTTCAGCAGCCTAATCTTGCTAGGTATTAGCAGACTGTACCTTGTTGGGGAGGGGTTCCTGAAGTGCTGGAGGGAAAAGCTGCTATCAAGAGCAGCCTTGACAAGCTGGAAAATGGGCTTGAAAATGGGTAAATTTTGTATCTGGAGTGGAATAATGCCATCCAACAGCACAGGCTAGGCTAGTGGCTGTCTAGCAAGCAACTTTGCAGAAAAAAGTGTGGGGATCCTGATGGATAACCAGTTAAGCATGAGACATCTCATGTGCCCTTACAGCAAAAAAGGCCATCTGCTTCTGGACTGTATTAAGAAGGCTGCAGCCACTGGGTTGAGAAAAGTTCTTTTTCCCCTGTATTCCTCCGTTGTGGCACCACATTTGGAGTACTGTGTCCCATTTTTGCCTTCCAGTATAAGAAAGCTACTGATATACTTGAACGCATCCAGTGGAGAGCTACCAGGATGGTCAGAGGGCTGGGACATTTGATTTACAAGGCGTGACTGAAGGAACTGGGGTTTGCAAACTTAAGAGGGAAAGGTTAGGGGGAAATCTTTTAGCTTTCTAAAGCTACCTGTTGGGAAGGTGTAGAGACAATGGAATCAGTCTCTTCTGAGTTGCACCTTGGTAGGATGAAAGGTAACAGACACAAGTTGGAATATAGGAAATTCTGACTTGAGATAAAGAAAAAAAAAATAGTATGAGGATGGTCAAACCCTGGAACAGGTGCCCACATAGTTTGTGGAATCTCCATCCTTGGAGATAGCAAGAACCTGACTACAACCTGATGTAGCTGGACCTGGCTTGTGCAGGATGTTGAGCTACAGACCTTTGGAGGCCTCTTCCATCCTATCAGAGTCTGTGATTTGAAGTTCGCCAGGACAGTTAGGAAAATCTCAAGCAGAGACAGGAACTGAACCAAACCTCCGTTGTCCTTCGCCACTTCTTCGCACCTGCCTTCTCTTGTGGGCACAGAAGGCAATAATGCCCTGGCTCTGCTCCTGCCCATTCTACCTCTGCAGTGGCCAGTAGGAGGTCTGGATCCTTGTGGGGCTGCAGCCTGTAATTACTCACTTGATGGGAACCAGAGTCCAGATGAATGTCTCTGGAAACCAGGTACGCACCGGCCCTGCCTCGCTGCCCAGCTCAACGTGCTCTGACTCAGCACGTTCAACAGCAGCTTCTATTTCTGGTTCCAAGTCGTCCAGGTCTGCCAGCTCGCCGTAAGCTGTTGGGAATGCAAACATTCGTTCAAAGGCAGGGCAACTGTGAAGTCAGGAGAGAGTTCAGCTGGGAAAAGCTCAGCTCTCCATCCCTCCCACTCCCGCTCCCATCCCCCTTGTCCTCTCCAAGATGCCCTCAACCTACTTCACCGTTGTCTTCCACGAGACAACCCAGAAGACCACGTGGATTTCACTATGTGTGTCCTCCCCCATGAGGAACACTACCTTTTTGAGCTCACGTTTTTGCTCTCAGCTCCTGCAGAAAGGCCTAGATACTGCCCAGTGCCAATCTTGGCTTGTTCTGTGGTTCCCAGCAGGACCTTTCCTAGTCTTACAAACAGATGTTCCTTCCTGAGACAGCTGCCTCATTTCCCACCTTGACCGTATCATCCAGTTGTGGCTGCCCCATCCCTGGAAGTGTTCAAGGCCAGGTTGGATGAGACTTTGGGCAACCTGGTGTAGTGGAGGGTGTCCCTGCCCATGGCAGGGGGGTTGGAACTAGATGATCTTTAAGGTCCCTTCTACCCCAAACCATTCTGTGATTCTATCTCTCTGCCTGCCAGCAGAAGCTTCCAAGCAGGTTCTTCCTGTGCAGCAACCCCTCCACCCCTCCAGTGCACTGGACACAAGCACAAACCAGGACCCCTCCCCTCTTCCTGCGGTGCACATCTGGTCAACCTCCCACTCATCTCTGGGAGCCACCCCCAGCTCCTCAGCACGTTCGGCTGCCCTCGTGCAGCCTGGATGTCACCCGTGATTTCCAAAGAAACAGGATAAATCGAGGCGTGTACACATGTAGTCGTAGTAGACGGCGCTCTGGGTGCGGCACTCAATTGGAGACTTGATTTTAAGGCTGGTTAAAAACGTCAGACCTGAATTCTAGGCGAAAGAAGGGAAAGGAAAGAAGGGAAAGGAAAGAAGGTGGGTTTCAGTGGAGGGGGTGGCGTGCCGGAGGGTCTGTCTTTGCCCCCACCTCCCAGCACATCACCCACCCTCTGCTGCTGCACCTCAGCCCGACCGGCGAATTTACATGGGGAGAGCGTGGGACCACCCTGCTCTCAGCGCCCGGTCCCAGCCCTCGCACTGAAGGAGCTCTTCCCATCAGGATTGGGGGGGTGACCGCTGGCATGTGCGTGCCCACGCACAAAGCCGTCGTTTTGGCACGACGGTGTGCTGCCCACCCCAACACAGACTCGTTCTCATCTTTCACCTGCTACTCCTCTCCACTGTTCTTTCCCTGCTTTCCCCAGTCCCCCTTTCCTAAGTTCTCAGTTTCCCAGTTCTCTCTGGCTCAGGCTGACACTCCCCTCTCCTTCCAGCTCCTGGAAAGCATGAGGGTCTTGATCTCGGGACAAACGGGAAGCTGGGTTCTAGGGATCTGCCTGATGGATGGGAATTTATCAAGCTGGGAGCACGGAGCGTCAGAGATCTCGTAGTTCAGAAGCTTGGCAGATTCAGAACCCGAAGTTGCCAGTGTTTACAGGAAAAGCAGTCTGTGAGGCTACCCAGCGCTGACCTGGGGTACCAAAGGGTTCAGCTCCCGTATTTCAGGTTTCCTGGAAATTAGATTTACCTTCAGAAGTTCGTAAACATCTGGTTGGGACACTGCATAAGAGTATCTGTTGTACATTACTGGTGACATTGTTCCTGGCGGAAGGGTGGTCTGAGGGGAACCGATGACTCCTGGGCTCTTGTGGGTAGTGCAGTAGTCACTGTAAGGGTCTGTGAGGGTGCTGGGGTGCTCCTGGGAATAGCTGAACATATTGTACACCTGTAGACAAAGAATGGAAACAGTACAGGGCAGTGTGAGAGGTGGGAGGTTTTTCATTTCTATCCAGAGACTTCTGTGATGGCAGAGGCAGAGCCCAGATCCTGTCTGCCACAAAAGCCCAGCCCAAAAGGTTTTCAAGCTTCATGGAGAGCCTCCACGAGTTCTAGATGCATAGCACCAGAGATGGACACGACCCGATCTGGGGCATGGCTGCAGAGCTTTGGCTGCTTCTAGCTCATAGATTGTACCTGTGAGCTCAATGCATACAGTGAGGACACCTTCCCTGTAAGAGTCGTCAGAGAGCTTCTTGTCTGACTGGGGGCACACCCTGGATCCACCAAGACAGGGGCAAGAGGCAATTCAAGGCTCTTTAGACCCAATGCATCCCAGGTCTAGAGGAGAAACGGGACTTTTCCACTGCCAAGGCACCACCTACAGTCCAGTCTGGGAATGGAAGGACTGCCTGGTTCATGTGAGCTGGAGCAAAGGTATGGAGCCTATCACACATGGGGCACTTCCTTTAACACAATTCTTTTTTTCACAGCACTCGCATGAATCAGTTCAGGAGATGAAAGTCTCTTGCCAGCTGGTTGCCGCTATGGCAAAGCACTCTAACAAGAATGTGACTTTCCGCAGCACTTGGGGATGACAGTGGGTTGTTCTACTAGATTCCCTCCACAGAGACTGGAAATCTTGACTGATGTTTGGTGTTGGCCGTCATTTTTTCCCATGAAGCTGTGTCCTGTCCCCATTCAAGTACTCGTTGATCTACCCACCGTGCCTTACGAACCAGTGCCTGCGACCAGGTACTCAAAAGGCATCTCTCCAGTTAGCGCGGCTCAGCACTACAGCGACTCACACTGTCCCGGGATAGCTCAGCCTCCGGCCTCAGGAGAAGGACGCTCTGGTCGACAGCACGGATGCTGCACAGGGAGCCTGGTGCAGCTTGCAAATGGAGACCCACAGCCGATCCTGGGAGAACCACCGTGTCCGAGAAGGCAAGCTTCACCTGAAACAGCAGAAGGAAGAGAGACTGAAGACGTTGGTGGAGGAAGGAAGGGGATGCTGTGGGAATACAGCCAATTTGCAGTTAACTAGCTGCCTTCCAGCCTACCTGCTCTTATGTCTCGTGCTCTACTTACGTGGTTCCTGAAGCACTTGGAGGCTTTCAGACTGAAGGTGTCAGCTGCCACTTGTCCCTCAGGGAAGGCGGTGTAAACAAAGAGGGTAGCCATGGGTGAAACGATGTCAATGGGCAGAGCGATGCTGAAAGCCCCGCTGTACTGAGCTGAAGGAAGAAGAAGAAATAAAAAAAGTATAGGAAGAGGCAGGGAAGTCCATCTCCAAGGATTATGGCAGCGTCGTGCTCATCCTCTGTAATACTTCTGCACAGGTACTTGGATAAAAAATTCTTCTGCCTTGCTGCTGGGGAGGCCGCAGCTCCACCAGGTTAGTGCCAATGCGTAGCAGTGACCTTACATTAGGAGGGATCTTGGTGACAATGTGCACTTGGGAGAGAAATGACTTTCCACCTGAGTCCAGAAAAAAGATTCTGTGAGTTTACTTGTGTAATTCCTGCTTGGCAGATAAACTCTGATAATTTCATCTTTTTGTTTGTTTGGGTTTTTTTTCTTTTTTTTCTTGCTGTTTCTTGTTGGTCTCCAATCTCTTTTGTTTCCTTCCCCATTAGGTCTGGAAGGGCTTTCTTGTTGGGTCCTTAACCTGTTCCTGCTATTTAGATGCTCTTACCTCGTGGTGGATCGAGAAGTACTGTTGTTTGGCCGTGATGCACGAGGGATCCTCTGGCTAAAACCTAAAAGGTAGTGAACAGAGCAAAGGGTTGATAGTGCCTCTGCTCCATGTCTCCGGGCCAGCAAAGGGCCCTGCACTGACACAGACCCGCCGCAAAGCCGACCTCGTCGCCAGCGCTGCCCTGCACTCACCAGGTGGTAGAAGTCAGCGGTGGCAGCCGCCTTGCCCAGCTCCGTGGCCAGGATGCCCAGCTCCGTGGCCAGGACACGATAGTGCACGGTGACCTGCTGCACATCCCCGCAGGGCAGCATATCCTCACGGAGCTGCGGCTGGAAGAGTAGAAGGCCCTCAGTGTGAGGGATGCAGAGCCGTGGGACACCCTCACGTTTCGACCGCTCAAGTCCTCCGGCTGGGTCTTTGCCTGTGGCACAGAAAAGGTGGCTCGGTGTCCGAAGGTTTCTTAGGGCTCTCCCCACGCCAAAACCAAGATGGACTGGACAGTGGGCTCTGAACTCTCCGAGGATAAGGTCTCTGTTTCCACCTATGCCAAGCTGAGTCAGCCCCTTGCTGTGGAGCCTGGCATTGCCCGCTCCACCACGCTCCAGGGAGCCATGTGCTACCAGGGCTCGGGATAAAGCCCGAAGTTCTGCAATGCTGCTGCTGCCCCAGGAGCAAACCAGATCCTCAGACTGTGTCAGTTGGCTTGTTAGTCCCTGGATCAAACCGCTGAATCCTTTGCTTCTGTCTGGTACACATGGGGAAAGTATCAGCGTGGATCTGCCCTGATAACGTATTTCACTGTGCGGCGTTATTCCACTCGCACGCTGTATTTCCTGTAGCATTTTCCCTGATCCATTGGGTAGAGGTGGCAGGGGACAACTGAAGATCAATAGTTTTGCTTATTTTTGACCAATGACCTATTTGCACTGAGACTATATCAACATCTTGTTGACTTCCCGTAAGGTCAAGATCCATCACTTAAGATACTGTCTGCACCCTTACAAAGAAACAGAGCGTGCCTTGACCTTGAAGTTTAGATAGGACAGATGTAGGAAACCTACCCCTACAGCCAGGCGAGAGAGACTTCCTCGTTCATGGGAAAGCAGATGCTAACTTTGCTCTGTCAAATCCCTGTCAGCAGCATCCCCGCTTAGCTCCTTACATCCTGGTGACCCGCTCTGCTCCACACTGGCTTGCAGCAACTGCTTCCTTACTAGCCTGCCTTCCTTCTCTCCTGAGTTTTCTGCCTCTTGTATCACAGGTTTCTGCTAACTCTTAAGCTGTGAGGAAACATAATGCAAACTGGTCCCTGATGTTTTCTTCTCCACATGTATTTTCAGATGCCTCTTCCCTAGCTGCTTGCCTGTCTTTCTGTTCCATACCATGTGGGAGTTCTTCCTTTGCTCCCTGTCCCTGCCCAGCCCCACAAAGCCCTTTCCACCTCAGACAGAGGTGCTATGCAGGTAGACCTCAGTCACAAATTCATGGGGCCTCTGTCCACTGCCCCGACTCTCATCATATCTCCTTGATTGCTCAGGGACTGCGTGTCAGTCCTGGCTCTGCTAAGGGCTATTCCTCTTGCCCTAGATCCGTCATTTCACTGCTCCGTGCCTCCATCTCCCTGGCTACACCGAGACAATGACACAGACTGTAGGTCTGAGGGATGTGTTGCTCAGTGCTACCCAAATCCAACGTAATTCTTAGGCTTCACCTGTAGCAGAACTTTACTGCTGTTGCCCCATGCTGACGTCTCTAAGGTGAAAGAGACCATCCCAGTGTCATCCGTGAAGTAGGTCTTGGTCTGCTTTCTGCTACCATAGGAGACTGCAAGAATCACCTCCTTGTTCTTCAGGTGTGTCCCGTTGGCACTTTTGAGTTCCAGCTGTAATGATGCAGAGAACAGTCAGAGAACTGGAGGCCTCAGGACTGAAAATCTACTTCCTAGTAGAAGTCCCAGTTCCCCTCTCCGCAAAGGGACTCTCAGTGAGAACTCTTAACTTCTCCAACCCCTCCTCATTTATGCAGCAGCCATCTCATGTGCCTGTCCTGTGGTCACACATTTGGATCACCTCTTGGTAGAGATGTCAAAGAAGAGACTGGGACAGAGGACTGTGCTAGCAGCTTTGGGCACCTCAGAGCAAGGAGACCCCTCAGTACTTCTGTGCCCATCATCCTGGTAGGCCCATCTGCTGTGCTTTCCATGTTTCTGCCCCATTCACTTACGTTTCCGTAGTAGGGAGCTCCTTGCTGATAGTAGTAGCTCGTCCCCCAGAACTGGAGAGTTGTGATATCAAAAGTGACCTTGCAGTTTTCAGTGGTGTTGAACTCCACCCCTAGGAAAGAGAGGAGGTGTGTGCAGGTGAGTGCCATGCTTCTGAGCAAAGGCAGCAAGATTGGGCGGACTGAGGTGCAGGATGGACCGTCACTCGTAAGGGATTCTTGTTTCTCCATGTAACTCCAGGAGTCATTTAACACACACGCTCAGCAATAGTGCCTTCTACGTTCTGACCTGCTAGAATGACAGCAGTCTACAAGGAGGTCGCTGTCAAACTTTCTGACTCTGTTTAAGAAGGTCCTGCTCATAATTGTCCACTTCCATTCTCACAGCAGAGTCACTAGAAGGCAACGTTTTTCTTGCCTTCACCACGTCAGTTTACAGTCTACGGTCTTGTCATGTGGTGCCCATCTGAAATCACTGCAGTTGTCTGCCAAGGCAATGCTTGTCACTGCTTCCAGCAAGGGGCTGCAAAGCATTTTTTTGTAAGGAAGGGTTTGTAAAATTTGGTAAGAGAGGAAAACTTACAGGATGGGATGTTTAATAGTAGCTCTGGACAAGTAGCCTCGTCTCCCTATCCTGGATGTGGAGATAAATTTTATGAGGAGCTATTATTAAGAGTACATAGCTTTGGTTATCACTGGTTGTTCTGAGTATCTGCTCATTCCAATGGACTTCCCTAAAGTATGGTTTAAGAACGAAAGAACCTAGCCTGGCCCACCTCTGTGAACATTTCTACTGCAACTAGAGGACAAGAAAAAGCAGCTCTTGCCTGTCTCTGCCAAACCAAGGTGACCGTCAGAGCTGGACTAGCACAACAGCTTGTGGAGGAGCAAGCGTGCTGGTAAAGCCCATCCTGCAATTGGGAGACCTCACATGTCCTACGTGAGTCAGACCTGGGTGGTATGGTACACAAACACCTCCGTGCTTCCATGGTGCTCCCAGGGAAGCCACAACCTTCTGAACACCGGACTGCATGGGAGCCAGTGCAGAAAGCTCCAGTGGTTTGATGGGAAGGCACAAGGATCCATGAGGAGTCTTACAGATGAGAACCCAAAGACAAGCGTGTTGGGTAAGTGTAAAGCAAAACATTTCCCACAAAGTGTAGAATCAGTTTTTGCTACCTGTTCCGCTTTCTTTCAGAAAAGCCACAGCTTCCAGGTTGAAATCGTGACTGTCGCCGCGCTTCTGGTGGTAGACCTTAATATTCACCTCGGTGGCAAAGCAGCCGTCCTTGTTTGTCTGGGGGTGTGAAATTGTATCCGTTACCCAGTCGTGAATGCACTAACCCCTTCTGCAGTGCAGGTCAGACCCAAGGCCCAGAAGTCCAAAAGTACATGACTTTTGAGTTAAAGGAGCAACTCCCATCCTGGCACGAAACGTACTTCTTTTCTGTGGAGCAGGCACTAACAGGAGATGCAGTTTCACGTGTGTCTCTCTACACACTCACTTATGTGCCAGTAGCAAACGTGAGCTGTGATTTCTCCCTGACAACATGATTTCTTCCACTAGGGCAGAGTTTATCTTTTCGATGTGTGCTGGGTTCCTTGAGAACACGTAGACAAATACAGACACGCTCATTCAATCCCAGAGATGAATGAGCAAGGTCTGTGCTGAACTGCCATCGCTTGCTTAGATGCCAGAAGTAATTTCTACGTCTCCAAAACAGCTGTTTCTGGGAAACAGCACACACAGGTCTTTACACGAGATTAAAAGGCAGTGCCAAAAATCATCCCCTGGCAGTGAACCGATGTGGACAGTATTTGTGGGTTTCATTGCCCTGTTTCAATACCTGTTTTGGGGGCAAGTCTGCACTAGCTTGCCTACGGATGCTTCTTGCTTTGAGTGCACCTAAGTGCAGTCAGAGAAACCACTGAGAGGGGCCAGATCGTTACGCTGGGGAGTTAAGGACATGGGAGTCATTCATCCCCGAGCAAAGAGCGCGCTGCTTCGACAGCTACGGTCTGTCCACTCCTTCCTCCGGTGTTCTTTCCTTCCTTTGCCCCAGCTCCTCTCTTTTGCAAGAGGAGCGGACACCCCACGTGCTCACCTCGCCTGTGTAGTCCTTACAGATGCTGCGCTTGGCTTTGGAAGACCTCTGATTGTAGCGGAGGTGTTTACGGCACACCACAACCTTCACGCTGCCTTGGACTGGTTTCCCGTACGTGTACCTGGCAAACAGAGCAGAGAGGGTTTATCCTCACAAACAGAAACAGTGGCTCGAGGGTGAGTAACACCAGCTTTAGCCCGTGGTTTGCAGCTACGTAGCCCAGCAGCCTGCAGTATTGTCATGGCTCATGAGCTCAGCAGAGCCCCCGGAGTTACAGTGACCTCATCGGGCAGGAGGCAGCGGTGGGTGAGTTCTCTCCAAGTCAACACTGGTCCCACCAGGCAGTGCTGGGGGATATCGTGCCGGCCACAGATTGAGTCATTGTTCCTTCCACGCTGGCACTACCCAGCACAGCAGAGGTACTGTGTCGCAGGGCACACGCTTCACTGAGCAGATCCACTGCCACACTCTCAAACTCACATAAAAATGTAGGGAGAGAGAGTGTGGAGAAAGGTGAGAGTCTGGGAGAATTCCTTAGCAAAGGATACTAGGGTACCAGGCTTTTGGGTGGGAGTAGAGTTGGCAGAGGCTGTTTTGGGCTCGGTTATTGATAGCTGTGCAGCTTCCAAACCAGTAAGAATGCACCTTCTGCCACCCTGAGACAGCTCACATGCCGCAGACGTGGAGACGGAAGTTCTCCTCCAAGACGGTGACCACCTGAGGCATCTGGATGGAGACACTGAACTTGGGCAGCACTGTGTGAAAGCAAGAGGAATATAATATGGTGAGAAGAGAGAGACCTCAGCCGTTCCAATCCTCCTCAAATCCTATTCACGGGAAAGAAATCTCTCCTTTCATCCCCTGACTACCAGCACAGCGCCTGGTAGCAATGCACCAGCAGCCCAGCCAGGAGAGCGTGGTGGGAGCAGCCAGTCTCAGCCTCCTTCCCAGAGCACAGTGTAGGACGTGCCTCAGTGACACGAGGGAGGAGAAAGCCAGTGGGTGACTACTGGCTGGCAGCGGGACACCCCGGGTGCTGGGGCAACTGGCACAGCTGTTCACAGCTGCACAGCCCATCCAACTCTTTGTGAGGGAATACATCTTTCTCTGCTGCTGTCGGCTCCCGGAGGTTCTTACCATACTCCTCTACCCTGAAGCTATGCGTGCGGTCAGGCGATCTGATGGTGTACTCTCCAACCGCTGCTTCTGCAGCCAGAGGGAACGACAGGTCCACGATGCCTCCCACAGGTTTAACGTTCAGCCACTGTGCAATTCGGTTCCCTTTGGGGTCCTGCATAGGCAGTAGCAGAGAGGAGTTATTTCCCAGTGCAAAAAAGAGACTCTTTTGCAGGATGTCCAAGCTCTCACAGGACGGTCTGAGCACGTATGCTCTTGTGCTGAGAGCCCAGGTGTAGGACACAGCTACGCTGCTCAGGTGGGGCTGAGCTCAAAGCGCATGGGGCTCTTATTCCTGTCTCATGTCACATTATTGCTCTCTGGTGGCACTGCCATCTCACTGACTGCTGCAGAACTGTGGTTTTCTGCCTGCCTGTCTCACTGAGAGATGGAGGTGGTCCTTCCTAGAGACCCCCGTGGCAATCTGAGCTGGCATAGCCCTGGGATCAGTGTGGAGAGGGTCAATCCTGACAGCACATGAGCTACTCTGGAGTGATTACTGGGGAGTCTGATGTCTCGAATCCTCAGGAATGGCTGGGGAAACGCATCCAGGACTTCATGCAGGGGACCATGAGGCCAAACATGGAGAAGAGTATGTAAAGATCTGGGATGCAAGGGCATTTGGAGGCTTTGTTGCCTGTCACGGTCTGGCCGTGATGGACAGTGTTGTCCCACTGCTGGTTCTGGGCAGAACTGGCTACAGTTACACCGTCCAGCCAGGAAGGGCTTAGTGATGAGCTGATGGGTGCTTTGTAAACACATGGAATAAGTGGGAACTGGTGTCTGAAAGGGCGAAGCTGGTTCAGAGTATGACATTTGTATAAACAGGTATAAGATATTGTGTAGGTGTCTCAGAAACCACGTGTTTATATATTGATTGCTTGGTGGGTATGGTATGCAAATGGGCATTAGCTACTGCTAATTGCTCGTTGGCACTGTGACCTCTCTGCACGGGTTATTATAAACTCCCCACCACTTTCAACTATCTCGCCTCAGCTCAGGCAGTTGCAGTCTGTATTTTAGCCATAATATTGAAACTAAACCAAGAGATTTTTAACAACAATGCCCTGAAAGCTGCTTTAGGATTTTCTCTAGCTGTGTAGCCACAGCATTAATTGCTCAAACTTGTATTTTCTGTATGTTAAATATAAAAATCTCCTTAAAGAAATGTCAAGATTTTCACAAATCTTCATTTCACAGGCTAGAGGGACTAAAACTCCTGTGACCACCCTAGAAAAGTTTGCTGTGGCGCCCATCATTTCCTGCCGGGACGCCCATGTGATGGGTACAGTGATGGCACTGCTGAACTCATGTGGAGACTAAAGGAAGGAAGGGCAAGAAGTTGAGGACTGCTCCTATCCATTCTGAGGTAACTGGCTTTCTGCATCCGTATTTCCCCACCATCATCTCCAAACCTGCGTCTTGCCCGAGGTGAGAAGAGATCACCCCTTTCAGTAAAGTAGGTGCTTTACCTTCAGTTCCACCAGGCGATGCTGTGGGAAGGAAATGACAGTTACTGGTGGGATGCTCTCAGGTAGGTTACCAGCCACCTCCCTGGCTTTTTTTTTTTTTTTAATCCCCCAACCATCAGTGAGTCTTCTCTAAGCAATTCCAGGGATTGCCCGAGCGCCAACGCCATGAGCAGCTCCCGCATCACAAGTGGTGCCCAACGCTCTTTGTAGGCACCAAAAGCAACGCTGAGGCTAGCTGCCCACAGAGGGATCACCGAGCCGGGCCAGGCGCCGACCCGCAAGCCCTGGAGGCCGCCCATAGATGTTTTCCAACTTATTAAGGTGTCTCTCTTCTTGACTTACCGTTTCATTGCTGGCAATAAAGTTCTGATCCAAGGTTACAATTCGCAACTTGACTATGGAGCAAAAGAAAAACAGGACTGGCTGAAATGAAATCAAGTCTGTCAATAACAACAAGAACGGATGGCTGAGGAAGACGTGCCCATGGGAGAGTGTGGGCAACAGCCAGAGCCATCCACTCCCGGGCCGATGCTCAAAGCCCTGCTACGGGCTGGCAGCCTGCTAGAAAAAAGGTGGTAGGAGAGGGGGCGTGGGGCTTCTGGGAATGCTGGCTGTCCTGGTGAGAAACAGCATTTTTCTGGTCATCGGACCTGCGGTGGGGCACTCAGTCCTGCCTGCAGTGAGGGTCATGCCAGTGGGAAGGGTGGGGAGGCGTGGGGCAAACTGCTGTACCCTGCGGTGGTCTGAGCTGGGCTGGGGCAGTGATGGGACCTGCAGGACCGAGTCTGCCCCATGTTTTGTGGCCTGAGGACCGCTCTTTCTCTCACAACACGTGGGATTCTGTCCATACCGGTCTGTCCAGGTTTGTACACAGGTTTGTCTGTCTGGATAAAAGTCTTCTTGTCTGCATGCTTGATTAGGACTTTCTGTTTCTTCTGAAGCTCTGAGTCGGCTTCCAGGACTGTGATAACAACAAAAGCCACTTCATCGGGGGTTCCAACCGGAGGAGGGACCTGCAGGTATATTTGTAACCATCATTGAGGGTGGATCCCATTCATGGATCCAACGATTGTGCTACTGTTTTTGTATTGCTCCAGTTGTTCTTGCCCTGAAAGACCTCACAGTACTTTTCAGAATGTTTTCTAGAAGAGCAAAATGTCAGCGGGGCGACCTAGCAGGAAGGACACTGGCAGACTACACAGGGTGAAGCAGAAGATTCAGTGCCCGATTAAGGTGTCCCCATGGGAAGACACAATTCTTTGCCTTCCTGCCCAGGAAAAGCAGAACTCATGCACTACCCCACCCTACTGACAGCCCTTGGAAATACCTTTCCTCACCTGGAAGCTTGTGCAATGAAAGAAGGTGAGCTGGGAGATGGCCTGAGTGATCAGAGTCTCATTCCCAGCTCTGCTTTGCAAGGTTACTGTCACGTGGATCGGGACTTCTTGCGTTCTGCTGAGCTGGAGGCACACTGTCTCCGAGAAGGGGTGGTAGAGCTGTGATGGTATTGCCACGGCATAATTTCTATTCAAAAAGAGGAAAAAAATGTCAGGTGAAACCGATTTTCTCAGAGGACAGGTTTTGACCGTAGGATTTGGGTACTTCCTAATAAGACTTCTGGTCTCTTCATTCCACTGTCACGATGCCAGTGGGTTTTCCCCCACTTTTTTGATCACATCCTTCTTCTCACCTGTGGGAATGATCTTTTGATCACACCCTTCTTCTCACCTATGGGAATTGCAGCCATTGACACCGAGTCTGCGCTACGTGCTGCACCCATATGTGAAAAGATAAAGTCACTGCTGAAAAAACTGAAAGTCAAAATAAGGTGAAGAGACCTCCCCACGTCACCCAAGGGATCAGCAGCAGAGCTTGGCTACTTTGCAGGTTTCCGAGACTTCACCTTTTCCCGGAACCGCACTGGGTCGCCATCAGTTTGCTTCGTTGTTTATCTGCTCTCCGTCCTATCAGCTACTCTTGGGCTCAGAAGCAATGCCAGGTATTTGGCACCCGTGTCCCGGACAGAGATCCTCATGAGCACCTTCTCTTCAGCTCCTGGCACTCCTGTCCTCCTTGCTGTTACGCCACATCTCACGCCTCTGCGGCTACTCTCATAGCTGTGCCCATGGATAACACCAAGAAGCTGTTCATATTGTTGGGGTTTTTTTCATCTTCTACTGCACTGCAGCAACCAGGACCAAAGAAAAGCCAACATTCAAGCAGGTTTCAAAACTCTTATCACTGACTCCTCCTGCTTCCTGCCTGTGGGCAGGTTCAGGCAGCGGCATGTTTTGCAGCAGCTGGAGCACGGGGCCTGGAAAGATCGGAGCAGCAGGAGGCAGGGACGTGACCTGCTGGCAGTTCTTAGCTGGAGCCTGGCACCCTGGCAAGAGGGAATCAAAGTCCTGCTGGCCAGGAGCCTTGAGTGCTTCCACACTCGAGTGCTGTCAGCCTGCCTCCAGCAGCTCGTCTGCTGCTGATATTAGGGGTCTGATAACAGACGCCAACAACATTTTGATTTTCCTACTTAAGCTGACCCACCTCCCTCCTCCCACTGAGCCAAAGGATGGGATGAGCAGTAAAGACTCTCTGCTTGAACCTCCTGCACCTCCCTTGCTCCTAATGACCCTTTGCTCTGGAACATTTTCCTACATCCTTTGACAGTTCATCCCTTGCCTTCTCAGCTGTAAAAGTAGGAGACAGCATCTCTGAGGCTGTCACTCAAGGATCCCAAGAGCCAGGATAGTTTACTTTCTCATGAATCTCCAAAACCCACTGGTATACAGGCAGGACAGCAGCCAGCCCATTGAACCAAGCAGTATTTCCATGAAGCCAAGCTTCATCCCAAAGGTGATGGTGGGAAACACGTAGGTCTGGGTCACAGTAGGAGACGTGAGATATTGGTGGGTCAGAATTAAACACATGCAGAAAGCTGCCAGAATTGCTCTGCCCGAGCCCGTGCAGAAACACATGGTCTACATCAAAGCCACTAAAGGGAGAGCTGAGGAGGAGGAGGAGTGTGGCAGGGAGAGTGCGTGGGAACCTGGCGAAACCTTGGGAATATGAGAAATGATGCCTCTCTGGGAAAGCACTCCTGGCCTTAGGACTTCTGTCCTGTATCTGTCACATCGCCACCCCCCAGGATTCCCCACAGACCGGCGCCGTGTGCGAAGCAGCTGAGGTTCTTACAGCGTTGCAGGCGTTCCGGCCGTGCTGGGCAGGAGCAGGATGCTGGCCCACAGGAGAGCGATGCTCCACATAGCTGATTGCAGGTGGAATCTCCCCACAGAAAGCTTAGCCTCTCCTCCTCCTGTCGGCCCTGCTTCTGCTGTCTTCCTTCGTCCCTCTCCTCCTCATCCAGAGCTGAAGGTCTGTGCAGCTGCTGCCCTGACACGGTGCCTGTCCCTCTCTTGGCTTCGAAACTAAGACGGTGGAAATCATGTTGCGCATGGCTGGGGCTGGGACTGGGGCTGGGACGTGGGCGGGTGGGAGGGGTGGAGGAAATGTTAATTGCCTGCAGACCACAGGCACTTGCCTCCAGGCTTTGCACGGCGTGGTGATATTTCTTTCTTCTCCGGGAGAAGAGACGATGGCAGCAGGAGTGCTCAGTTACCATCTTTGGTACAGGGGTCCGGTTTTTATAAGGGGTTTCATCAGAACCATCCTGGGCCAAAGTCATTCTTTGTGATGTCAGTGGATTTTGCTTCAAGATTCTTCTTCTGCAGAAGTTCTTTTTTATGTATTATTTACTCCTTACTGAAATTTCACTCCTGCTCCGCAGCCTCCAGCCAGACCAGACCAGGGCTTCACACACACCTCTGCCCGTGCCCCCATTCCTCCCTGGAAGAAGGGAAGAACTTAAGCATGTTGTTATCTTTTTGTTGTCTCTCTGTTCCCGTTTAACGTCGGAGGCTGCCAGTTTGATGGCCATTCAGACCTGCAGAGCCGCGGGGAGCGTTTCGGAAACCGGGCAGAACTCAGATCCTTTTCTGTCCCACTAGTTTAGGTTTGAACTCAAAACCCTGTTGATTTCAGAGAATCGGAGAATCAGATATGCCCCCAGATCAGTGACATACAGTGCTTTAAACCCGCGGATTATCGGCGCTGTCAGCGCTGGGTTAAAGGCTACGGCGTTCCTGTTACATCAGACCGGGCACTAAGAGGGTGGATGCTGAGCACACAGACAGGGACTGTTCCAAAGTAAATCCAGGGGATTGCTTCAGCTGGGAGCAAAGAGAGGGTGGACAGCAAATTCTCTCTATATTGTGTACCTTTGGTTACGCTCTGCAAAAACACAGCTAGGGCCAGGGCAGGGTGAGGACATCCACCTTCAGATGAGATTGTAACTAGAGGGCAATCACATCCAAGCCCTGTTCACGTCACTGCTGCCAGCCAGGAGAAGGAAATAACGAGGTTGCAGGGCCTGAGAAGAGCCTGGAGGAGATGGTAGTGGTGACAGCGTAGAATTACTTTATGGCTGGAGGAATACAATCATAGAACAGAATCACAGAATGGTTAGGGTTGGAAGTGACCTCAAAGATCATCTAGTAGCTGGCAGAAGACCAGACGTCTGGCTTGGAGGGAGGTAAAGTAGAGATTTGATAAAATATGTGGGGACTTTGAGTGTCTTGCTTTGTTTGGAAAGTCCCTACAGTGAAGCTATGAGGGGAGTTGGCAGTGGGTGGTAGAAGCACTTCTGGAAAAGGTTTTGTAGCCAGGAGGACTGGACATGGCTGGGATGGGTGGGTGGACAGAGGTGGTGACGCAGGGAATGGAGATACATTGGAAGGTTTCTGCTCCAAGCTCTAGTTAAACACTGGATGAGCGGAAGATCACTGGAGATCACACAGAAAGAGTACTGAGGATGCATTTTACAAGCTGAGGACAGTAGCTGGACGCAGCTTTGGCTCTCATCGTAGGCTACAGCCAGCGTCCAGACCAGCCGCAGCTGAGATGAGCTTTTCTCCTAAGTCTCCTTCAGCCTGGCTTGGCAGTCACCCACCCTACATCTTCCCTCCAGCGCTCTGGCACCCAATAACCAGGAACACCATCTGAAGGTGGATGTGGGTGGAGAACCGTGCTGTGTGGCCTTTACTCTGCTGGTGGTGGAAGCAAGTAAATATTAGCTAATGTCGTTAGCATGGAAGAGATACCACCTCTATATAGCAACTCTCTCACTCTTTGGACTCAGGAACACCTGAGGAGGGTATTTAGGATTGCTCCAGCTCATCAGTGCACGCAGTTCTCTCCTCCTGCGTGGACCTCGTTAGCTGTCTGTCCCAGCCCAAGCAATGGAAGCACCAGTGCTCCTCTTAGCCCTGACCCTATTCCCAGTCGCAGCTGCAGCGAGCCCGGAACTGTGAGATTCTCTCCTTTTGATTTCGGGGGGACTGGTGGAAGGGTCTGTGGCTGATGGGTGGTGCTGAGGTGCTCCACTGTTTTCTCAGGGAGGTGGAGCAGAAGCAGCCCCTGCTGAGCCCCGTTGGAGCCGGGTGCCCAGCACCGCTGCGGGGGAAGCCCTGGCACACGAGCAAAGCTACAGAGGCCACAGGTTTTTCCTCCCGCTCATCCTGTGCTGGCAGGGGTGAAATCTGGCATGAGGACCGAAGCCTTACACCTCCGCCACTGTGTCTTCAGCTTCCTTCACCCCACGGGGCCGTACTCCCCGCACTCGCAACGGGAGCATCGGACACCAGGCAGCCATGTCCTGGCAGGTGGTGACAGCTCTCAGGGGCTCTCTAGTTCCACACTGGGCATGGGGCTTCTTCCTGGTATGGCAAGTGTGCTGCGCTATCGTTCCTTCACCGCAGGCCTCCAGACATCTCGGACCTCTGGTCTACTCTTCATGAAAGCAGCAGAGATGGATTCTAGCCCATCCACCTCAGCCTCTGAATTGTTTTTGAACATCTCCTGCTCTCTTCTAGTCACTACACGGTGGTGTTCCCTGCCATCATTCACCAGTTCACCACGGCCAGGAGGAGAAGCTCTGTGTTCACCTCAGCTCCCTGCCCGAGACTGTCCGCCTGGCGATCACCGTGGAAGCGATAGCCCAGAACCACACACTGGTGGAACGGAACGTGGAGAAGCCAAGCACCTTTCAGTGCATCGCCTTCCAGGTGAGTGGCTGCTGGTTTGGCAGTGGATGCTCTCACCGTCACTTCGGATGGGAGCCCGGCACCTCTCTGGCTATGCTGTCCTTAGCCTTGCCGTGGATCGTGAGTAGGTCAAGTGCATTTCCCTACCAGTGCCAGGCAAATACAGCAGTACCCTGGGACCTAGCAAAGTAGGGGATCTTTCCTGTGTAGATAAAAACCTGTTCTTTTGATCTGTATCGGCCCATCTCATCCTACTTAAAGCCTGTTGGAAAACGTTGACTTTCAGTGTACTCAGTGTTTTGTCCCCAGAAATGCTTGCGTACCACAATGCAAGCCAGTGCATTGGGAGCATGTTCTTTTCATCCTTGCTCCCTCAGAAGCCTGCCCCTCTAGCTGCAAGAAGACCATTCTGCTCCACATCTGTATTGCAAGGTGTAGTTGCAGCCTGCGTAGACATCCAGCTTGCTCTTATGTAGCTATGATGGGTGATGATGGCGCTGAACCCACGATGAATTGAATTTCACCTTGGCAGTCTGGATATTTCTTGGGTAGCTTGAGTTCCTGTCATCACAACTTTGCTGCTCTGTTTACCTTAACCAGACACACAGAGGCTTGGTCACGACTGCAGGACCTTCAGTTGCACTTCTGGCCAGCCGTGGAGATGTGTCTGGTGCTGAGACTCTACAAACTGCCCCTGTCTCCCTCAGCACCCTACGAAGTCGCTGTGCCTGTGCCCTGATTGTCCTGCAGATTCAGCGGAACTCAAGGAGGGGCTGTAGTCACTTCTGGTTCTTGCATCAACAAGACAATTATTAACCAAGTGTTTGGTGCTAGCCCTTAGGAGGGAGCAAGTCCTGGCTCTGGAAAGCCAAGGAAGTCTGCCATTAGCAAAAAGAAATTTTCTCCTGGTGATCTAGGTCTTTCTGATACTGAGATGTCCTGGTTTTGCCTGATCAATATCTCATCTCCCATCACTGTCTTAGCTCCAGATCTGACTTCCCTATGGTTTTTCCTGGTTTCACGAAAATCTCACATTTCTGTGAAGTGGGAGAATGACATGTCAGTTGGTTGGTGAAGAAGAGACAGGCACTGACTGCTTCTTCTCCCTGTAGTGACAAGTGGGTTAGAGACAGGGTCATACAGTGGAATTAAGACTCTCAAGTTTGGGAATTTTTTGACAGTAAGATAATGTCTCACATCTGGGATAAGATGCAAAGTCTCTGATGAATTTGTTTTCCATTTCCTTCTGTCAATCAACCTAGGTGCCAGAGTTCATTCCTGGGAAAAGAGACGATTCCACGTCACACCTAAGACCCCTCTCTTGTCTACCTCTCCTCACACAAACTCAAGGGTTTCAGCCTCTCCTGTGTCTGAGCCAAGTTAATGTTGGAGATGCAGGGTGGGAAAGATAGTAAAGGGCAGAAAGAAATGTGGAAAGAGGTAAACATGACAAGGAGAAAGGCAGAGAAGAGAGGAAGCTGGGGAGCACAAAGAAGACTATGACTGGGGAAAGGAGAGAGCTAAATCGAAAGAGGGGAAGGGAGGAGAGGGAAGCTGGAGATCTTGGTAGGACAGGTGCCTCTGTTTCTCCTTCAAGCTAATTGTAGTCTGAAGTGGTTTGGTTTTTTTAACCTGGCAGCCAGAGGAGGTGATATTTCTGCTTGTCCTGATCCACAGCGGGGAAAATGTGCTCTTGGAGGGTTGCAAGAAAGTTCTGGTCAAGCCCCAGAAGAATGTAATTCTCATAGAGACAGACAAGGTCATATACAAACCTGGAGAAACAGGTAAGGCAAGAAGGTGGCATCTGGAAACATGGAAGGAAGGGTCAAGGTAGCAGCCACAGCTAGGGGGAAGATTTCACCAAGTGCAGCAAGCTAAGCTTGTTGGAGATGTGGGAGAAAGCAGATCTCTATGATTCTGTGTTTCCAGGAACAGTATGAGTCAGGACGTTCCCCTCTGAGTTGTGCCGCACCTAACGCCCAGCCTGCTGCTCCTGGGTGTTGTTTTGGTGAAGTATCTCTAGCGTGACCTCAAAGGAAAGCCAGGCCTCTCCAGGACACTGGACAATCTCTTGTTTTTTGAAGACTGTGGCTAATTGAGTAAAGCCTAGACTGGCAGTTCCAAGCCGTAAGAAATACAGAGAGTCACTCCACAGTCTTCACAACACGCAGAGAGCTGCAGACAGACCAACCCGCCATTCAACACACCACCGTAACCTTCCCAGGGAAAGGCAGTGAGTCTCTGCAGTCCCGCAGCTGCAGAACCACCTCCCAGACAAAGTCCTCCGCCGTGGGAGATGCCGAGGAGGGCTGTTGGGGGAAAGACCTCAACACCTCCGAGGTAAACAGGGAGACACGAACCCTGGAGTGCAGCCAAGGAGAAGCAGCTTTGTGCAAGGACACGTTGCAGCCAGAATGCTTTACTGTCCCTTTCTTTTTATCTCCAGTGAAATTTCAAGTTGTGAACCTCGATGAGGACCTTAAGGTCCTTAAAAATGAGGTGAGTATCACCTTTTTGCCCCCAAAACAGGGAAGAAGCACAAAACTGCAGAGCTGTAGCTGGCAACTCTAAGTCTTGTTACTGGGGACGGTTGACCACTACAGAGTCTAAGGTTTATTCCAAAGTTTTTTCCTCCTTTTCGAGGTCAACAATGACCCAGATTTTTCTGTTGTAGCTGCAGGACAATGACAGACTTTAAAAATAGCTACTATGGAGACTCCATGGATCCACCTCATGGTCCGCACTGTCTCTGTGCAGGTGAGCATACCTGTAGGCTCACATGTGATGGCTTGTGAATTTTTAATTTTGTCCTGTAGGTTAGTTTTCTACCGAGCTCCAATAGCTGCACCAAGGTGTTTGGATCAACCCACAGTTAAATCCAAGACAGGCAGTGGATTAGTAAGTAATTTTTAAAGCACACTTGGGTTTCTTTTGTTAACATGGTTTGTTTCAATTTAAGTGTAGAGGCCCTGGAATGTGGCTTACTTTAGACATTCAAAGAGCCTTCTTTCCTGAGAAAAGTCTAAAACTGGTGACTTCTGTTGTAGTTTGCCACACAGTGGCCTTATTCCCACACTCTCTCTTGCCCTGACTAGCAGTGCAGTTGATATTTCTTGATGGCCTGGACCAGCAATGTTTGGAAGTAGTCCGATATGTATCAGCGTTTGCTTGTTGAACTGGTTATCTTTTCATATGCAGTTCACATCTTAAAGGTGATGGTGAGGAGAAGGGTGGTGCCTTCAGGGCACAGGTAAGCGGGCCCCCTGGTGCTGGCTGCTCACACACAAAGGAGTCTGATCTTCCAATTTCCCAATCCCTGCAGGGAGCAGAAAGGTGGTTTGGCATGCATTGTCCTGCTTTTCGAGGGATGGGAAGCAAAGATAAGGAGACACAGTGGTTGCAGCCTCTCTACTTTGGTCAAACTTGGAGAAGCCTTGTAATGGTAGGAAGTGCAGATTCACACTAAGATCAGTCATGCAGGAAATAACTTAGAGGGCAGAGATACAGGAGAGGTGGTGGTATATAAAGACTTGTCAAAAACACGAGGCTGGAGAGGTCAGAGGACTTGGCAACTAGCACAGCCAGATGAGCTTTTGCTCAGAGACAGGACAGGACAGCAATTAGACCCTGGGGTTGCTAGGATCCTCTGTCCAGCTGCTTCCTTCTGGAGGTGGCGATTGGCCAAACTGGACGGGGTGGTTGCAGAGATCCGGTGACTGGTGAGGCTGTGGATGGGCTAGTGTCTATGTGTGGGAAGGTGTGGATAACAAAAGCAGAGCTCTGGGCAGCCTGTAAGAAGCACATTGTAGTGAGGGCAACGTGGACTTATCCCACATTCCCAGTTTACCGGGACATGTCATGTCAACCTCTTCTCTGAACAGAGAGACATCCCAGGCTTGGAGGTCAGTGTGAGTGGGATTGCTGGCTCCCCTCGTACCCCCATGGTGTAGATCTAAGGGTTCACATTCCTACATGCTGCCATGTTCCCTGGCAGTGTGTATGAACACTCCAGTCTTCCCTACCGCAAGAGAAAGGATTTTCCTCCTGTAGTCCCTGAAGCGATGCTCTCACTTCCAGACTGAAGTGGGTAGATGGGGGTGGGAAAGGGCAAGAAGGCAAACGCAGATATATCTAGATGTTCCATCTATATGCGGAGTCATCCTTAAGCTTAGCCGTTCGGTTTGCTCACCGGTGTACGATGTTCCTTCCCTACCACTGTCTTCCTGGTAAACTGGAAAAAACGTGGACTCCGAAGGTGCACTTTTCCTGCAAGGCCACGGAGTGTCACCACCGCTCCGTGGCTTGCTGCCGTTTCTCTAGCAAAACTCCTTTGCCAAAATGGGTTGGAATGGAAAAAACTGTCATTGGAATGAAGATGGACTTCTCCTTGCTGAGAAGCCCGGAGCTGGGAAGATCTGCACCTAAAATGTGAGCAAGCGATGCTGCCTACGGAATGAATCCTCGCTTATATATAGGCATAGCACTTGGCAGGTTTCCAGCCAGTCCCTATAAACCAGTCTCACAAATTGTAGCACGAGTGTCAATGACAGCAGTTATGGGATGGAACAAGTGTTTCATGAGGAGACACTAAAAAAGCTGGGATTCCACC